GGCTCCCGGGGGCCCCGGGGAAGCGCCTCCGGTGAGGACCCTGCGGAGGTGCCGTCCCAGGGCAGGGAAGTGGGGCAGCTCATAGGCCTTCAGGGCACCTACCTGGGTGAGAAGCCCTATGAATGTCCCCAGTGTGGGAAGACCTTCAGCCGGAAATCCCACCTGATCACGCACGAGCGGACCCACACGGGAGAGAAGTACTACAAATGCGACGAATGCGGGAAAAGCTTCAGCGACGGTTCAAACTTCAGCAGACACCAAACTACGCACACCGGGGAGAAACCGTATAAATGCAGGGACTGTGGGAAAAGCTTCAGCCGGAGCGCCAACCTCATCACCCACCAGAGGATCCACACGGGGGAGAAACCCTTTCAGTGCGCCGAGTGTGGCAAGAGCTTCAGCAGGAGCCCCAACCTCATCGCCCACCAGCGGACGCACACGGGAGAGAAACCCTACTCCTGCCCCGAGTGCGGGAAGAGCTTCGGCAACCGGTCCAGCCTGAACACGCATCAGGGAATCCACACGGGAGAAAAGCCCTACGAATGTAAAGAATGCGGCGAGAGCTTTAGTTACAACTCCAACCTCATCAGACACCAGAGGATCCACACGGGAGAGAAGCCGTACAAGTGTCCGGACTGCGGGCAGCGGTTCAGTCAGAGCTCGGCCCTCATCACCCACCGCAGGACTCACACGGGGGAGAAGCCCTACCAGTGCGGCGAGTGCGGGAAGAGCTTCAGCCGCAGCTCCAACCTGGCCACGCACCGGCGGACCCACATGGTGGAGAAGCCCTACAAGTGCGGGGAGTGCGGGAAGAGCTTCAGCCAGAGCTCCAGCCTGATTGCCCACCAGGGGATGCACACCGGCGAGAAGCCCTACGAGTGCCTGACGTGCGGGGAGAGCTTCAGCTGGAGCTCCAACCTCATCAAGCACCAGAGGATCCACACGGGTGAGAAGCCCTACAAGTGCAGCGACTGTGGGAAGGGCTTCAGCCAGCGCTCGCAGCTGGTGGTGCACCAGAGGACCCACACGGGCGAGAAGCCCTACAAATGCCTCATGTGCGGCAAGAGCTTCAGCCGCGGCTCCATCCTGGTCATGCACCAGCGAGCCCACTTGGGAGACAAGCCGTACAGATGTCCCGAATGCGGGAAAGGCTTCAGCTGGAATTCAGTCCTCATCATACACCAGCGAATCCACACGGGGGAGAAGCCCTACAAATGCCCCGAGTGTGGCAAAGGCTTCAGCAATAGCTCCAATTTTATCACCCATCAGAGAACTCACATGAAGGAGAAGCTTTACTGAAGGGGCAGAGAGGGAAGGTGTGGGGGCTGGCCAAGGAGAGGGACTTCCTATGCTGCCCCCAAATAGGGATGTTTATCTTTAGAAGAACCACTCTTCCTAAATGCTTGTTGGGGGGTTGCCAGAACCTTACCCCTGCTCACCGTCATCTCTAGGACCCCATCAGCTTAGTGGTCAGAGTCCAGCCCCGAGAACAGAGCATAGGAATGGACAGTCAGAACGCTGAGTCTTTTTCTGTTACATTTCTCCACTTGATTGGCTCCTCTCCTGATCCTCTGTGCCTCAGTTTCCTCTCTGGTAGAACAGGGGGAAACAGATATTTCTCTGTGTGAGATGGAAGACAGTGTGGCCCATGTTTCAGAGAAGTCCCGGAAGTCTGGTGGTGTGGTCTGGTTGTTCTGCTGCCTCTTGTTGGGCTGAGGGGCCTCCACCCGAGCTGCTAGCATCCCAGGCCCCCTGCATGGCAGACCCGGCTTTTCCTACCTTTGGGTCCTGGGCCTTCATTTCGGGCCCAGGTTGGGGGGGCTTTTTCCAATCCTGAGTCATCGCCTGAAGGTAAAGCCCTTTTCTAGTTCTAGAAAGTGTCAGGAACACCGAAACACGAGGGAGTCTGGCCTGGAACCAGTGTCCCAGCAGGACTTTTCCATCAGTAGGGGCTGCACACGGCCTGCCAGCAAAGGCATAAACCAAGATGTATGTCTTTGCTCTCATCTCTGCTCACTGTTCCGGGCTACGTCGGCCATGGAGGGAATGCACTTATTCTTGCAGGGTTCCGTTTTTTGAGTGTGAGGTGAAGTCAGAGCCCCCCAGCTGCCTCCCCCCGTCCAGGTGGATGGCATCTCTGTCTTATCACGGGTGAAACAGTCCTGCATGCTGCAGGGTGGGCTTGTATCTTTACCTGCAGGTACCTGGCCCCATAGTCATCACTCTGTGCACTTGTCATTTCCTTGTTCTTAGATTTTTATCTTATATGTGCAGGTCTAGAATTCTGTCTGGTAGCTTTTGTATATGAAGAACATTATTTTTAAGGAAGTGCTGATTTTGAGGACACATCATCTGTCCCCTGGAGAGATTTGGGCTTGAATCAAGAGTTGGCTTAGAGATGTCATCCTTGATCTTGGGTCATTGAGCCATGAAACAGTTAAGACAGGGGATGATAGCAGGTGAAGGGGTTTGTTATGAGGGAAGAGGGAGGTAAATGAGGTTTTTCTCTCCTACCCATGAGGCCTCCACTCAGAATGCACCTTGGTTCTTACAGGGCAGACACTCCACATTGCCTAATAAAGTAGAGTCCTGTTCTTTTCCTGAGTCTATCTTTGCACATTGTGTTGAAAACTCAAACTTAACTGTGAGCAAACCCACATCTTACTTCTGTACCCCACACACCCACCTCCTGCCCCAGGCCAGAAGAGGCTTAAGACCTTTAGGGAGCAAAAATCTCTTGCTCCAAAGAGCATACCTTTGGATGAACCTAGTCTTGCTTGACCAGTGCCCACACCTCTCCACCGCCCTTTGCTAACTCTGCATCCAATCTGTCAGCCAAGACTTGGAGCAGCAGCTTTGACTAAGGAGCCAAATGGCCTCCCAGGGAGGCCACTGGGAATCATCTCCATCCAGACTCAACTAAGTTAGACACAAGAAAGTTCTAGGCAGTGACGGTTGTTAAACCAAACCACGTAGGCTGTGAAGTCCCTGTCACTGACTCCACCCCTTCATTTACAGAGCAAGGACTCATGTGCCATTACTGTGGAGAGCCTGGTGAAGAGTTAGGGCTGGTGGTTAATTCTCTTTGGTTTTTCCAGCCAGTCACTGGTGCAGCTGAGCTCACGTGTCTCGCATCAGTACAGGCTGTGGCTCCAGGGCCTACTCACCTCTTCCCAGTGTCCCAACTCAGAATTTCCCATCGGCTCACAGCCCCAGGCAGCTGTGGAAGAATGGCTTTTGGGAGGAAGAGGGTCTGGTTCTAAGGAACCCCACCCAGGCCTCTCATAGCTCTCAGTCCTTGGTAGGCACGATGTGTCTGCCGTTTGTTTACACTGTCGGTGTAGAGGCAGGAGGCCTGCCAGGATGCCTCAGGGCCTCGAGATCCAGCCCCCAAGATTTCTGGTGCAGACACCTTGAGATGACCAGACCCTGGGTGGGAGGCGCCTGTAAACTAAATTTCCAAAAGACCAACAGAATCCAGAACCCCAATTATTATTCATTCACAGTGGGGGCCTTCTGTCCCAAGCCACTTTCAGAGCATCCCTTGTTCCTGGTCCCCAGTGATTGAAATGGTGGCTTTGTGGTCAGACAGTGTCTGGTGAGCATGGAGTAAAATGCAGGGGTCACGTAGTGTTGATGGTGAAAGTGATGTGAGTTGTGTTTGGGGCTACCCTTTCCAGGCTTGATTTTTGCTTCCAGTGAAATTTCCATTGGTTCAGGAGATCCCCAAGTTAAAGGAATAGGGCATGGACTTGGAATTAGTCATTTTCAATTTTCTTTTTTTAACAGTGGAACCACTTTTTCAAGTGAAATCTTACAACAATAGAAAACATGTGAAAGCAGAACTGCTTTTGGATGCTGAGAACCAAAGCCCTCTCCTGAGCTGGGTCTGCCCCACGTAGCCAGTTCTTGAAAGCTAGATGTGTGTGCATGCAGAAAGTGCTGACCTGTTTTCTACATTAGTTCTTTTGGAAGAAATCGCCACAGCCCAGACTTGCAACTGGATTCAGGACTCTTCAGAGAGCCCCTCTTATGGTCCTGTCCTTCCCTCACCCCAACACAGGCTGCCTCTCCTGAGAGGGGGAATCACAGCTTCACCCACCTTCCATTGAATTTTAGACCTTTTATCTGTTAAATAGGGAGTGAGACTACTATGCAAAACTTTTCAGAACCAAACCAGATAAAATATGCAAAGGTAAAGTTTCCTGTCCCCTTTCCCTAAGGGTGCACCTTCCTTCCTCCTGGGCTCTCTGAGCTGCTCTCTAGTATTTCCTTCCAGTCATTTACTTTGAAAGCACTTCCATTTAGCACTTACCACGCTGCACTGGAGTGGCTGCTCCACAATTGATCGTTAAATGAATAAGCCTCAGTGATACTCATCTTGAAACACCCAGGACTACGCACACAGGAAATGAGGAAGCCTGTGTGTGTTGGGCAAGGGGGAACTTAATTCTCAGCACCACCCTGAGACAGTTGGCATCCAAGCTGCCTGAATTTATTCACCTGGATAAATAAGGATTAACAGGGATAAACACTTACTTTCAGCTGT